GTATAGTCTGATATTATACATAAAGAATATACATTTATTATTTCATTAAAAGTATAATTGGTAATTCATTTTTTATGATTAGATTTGTCTTTTAAATAAAATCTTTACATTTTAAGAAATTTATATAATTGAATTAATTATATATGTCCGGACCAGGGCAGCGTTCCAGATGTGAAGTGGTTCTTTTCTTATTTCGATACAAAAAATTTGATTGAAGTTTTGTATTTTAACCAATTCTTCTTGTCAGGAATTTTAGTCCGTATTTTAAAAAAACTCAGAACGTCCCATAACAAAATTTTTCATTTTAAAAACTTAAGACGTTCACACATGAATGTATGATGTTGATTAACTAGTTAGATAGGCGTCCTCTTCTCTTCAATTCCACAGATCGATTCTCAGATATTTTTAGCACATGACGAGGTCATGAAGACCAGACCATTTTGATTTCATGGTTTTGATCAAAAGAGCTCACTGGGATGCTGTTGCTACCTACTTTGCCGCTGCTAGATCCCATACAATTAATGGGTTCCACACAAGAACAGTAGCCGATCTTGGATTCTCAATATATAGTACTTGTGTTGTTTATCTGTTCGTTTCCAATCATAATTAAAGTGAGAATGATTTAGTATTTGATTGTGATGACATCTATGTATAAATATGACCTTTGACTTGGGGAAATGAAATGAACTGCTACTGTTTTTGTCTCAGACTCATTTTCAGAGATACAAACTCCTTCACCCAAAAAGACGATCATCTTTCACCTAACATCATCAGCATTTAATATCTAACCGTGGCCAAGTTGATGTGAAGTGCATAATTTATACTTCGATGGACCAGTTTACGGGAGATCTATGCAATGCATTACTGAGATAACGATAGTAATTAACCATTATTTAACTCAACAGTTTTGAATAAATGACCACCTTAGAATGTGTTTAGGGAAGAAGGAAGAAGACTTTCACTTTGCCAAATATTACGTATGAGTAATTGTGATTCACATTTTTATAGAAGTGAGCAAATCAAAGTCACGGATACTGATCTCTAATTAAATTTCTCTACGCGTCTCCGTGGATCATGGAGTCAATTATTCGGACTGATATCCGCATAAACAACCATCACTGTTTATGATATTTTAATTTTCCCATCAAAATGTTTTGGATTTTAGAAAAAAGCCAAGCCAATAAATTAAAGCTTCTAGAGGTGGGGGAGAGACAAGCTACAACTTTCCATTTGAAGAGATTACAGCTTTTTAATCAGATTATTTATAATTTGATCAATCTGAATCTTTTAGTTGGAGGCCAAAATGGTCGGTACATGAAGGGACCTCTAGAAAACGATGTGTATAGTTTCAACTCATAATATATTATAATAATCAAATCGTATTAACATTAAGTCAAAATATTTATTATATGATATTGGAAGTGGGTGAAAATAATAAACCAAAATTTCATCATTCTTGTTTAAGTACATTACCTAACTGTAATTTCATACCCAATTATATTTCTAAATTGGTAACCAAATCATATTACGTACTAATTGGATTCTAGTTGGACGACCCCACTACTCTTATTTTTTTCTCTTGACTTTAGGGTTTCATCTTCTAGCATTATCTTTCTTCTTCCCATCCTTGTTTTTATTAGTTCAAATTTGGTTTATCAAGTTTCATAATTATTACTTTAATTCTTTTCATTTCTCATCATGATTTTAGTATTTGATCCGCTTATCACGTCATATTACCATATATAACGCTTAAATTAAGATCAAACTAATTAGCGTGTATATGTTAACTAATGTGAACGATCAGAATTCTCTCATAATCTAATTCTTAGTTGAACAAAAACTAAAACAAAAAACTTAATCATATTCAGATCTTACTTATAAATATACACATGCTTTTAAGATATATAAAAACTTAAATGAAGAGATGTTTTTAATTCTTAATAATCGGCTTGAGATTAAGATTATGGTACTTTAATGATAAACTAAATTGAAGGTTCAAAATCAAGAAGTTATATAACAAATAAATAAATAAATTAAGAAGAAGAAGATAATTAATTAATATTAATGATGAGATTAAGGGTTGTCTTTGTCATTGAAAATTCTCTAAAATCCAATAATATAATTATATTATGCGCTGCATATAGCCTCTCATGATGCAAAAGAGTCAATGGAATGATCTTTCTCGAATACCTCCATTTGTTTACAATTTGCCTCCCATTTGAGACGTTTGGCCACACAAAAGAAAAGGACAAATAGCCATGAAATTTTAGTCAATTCCAATCCCATTTGTGGAGATACAATATTTTTAATTATTAATTATTGCAAAAGGGATTAATAATAATAATAATTTAATTTCCTGGGTAATTTCTATATTTTATCCTCTTCACAAATTCATTTTCCATGGATTCCTGATGATGAGGACCCATTTAATGTATTTAGAGCGTTCTCTAAAGAGACACGGTTTGGCTTTTACATAACATAGAAAAAATAACGTTATCTTTAACGAAGAAAGCTTGGATGATTTTTAAGGTATATATGAGATTGAGAGAGAGAGAGTTTTACACCACATAATTTATACATTAAAGTGAAAGTACTGTAAATATACACTATGATTTTACACAATGAAACAATGATCAATGGGATATTATCATAATCTCAAATTAATTCAATACCCTGAATACAACTTTACTACATAAATGCTCTATTCGATAGAAACATACAATAAAAATGAAACAAATTTTAATTCATAAAATTTTTTCTCTCTCTCTCTACCAAATGGGTAAATCCTATATATAGATATATATAGACACACACAATTATTAATAAATAAAAGATAAAATTAAAATAATAAAGAGAGAAGAAAATGAAGGAAAGGTCAGGAATGTTATTGTCATGAACAGGAGGAGTGGTCACGGGATTCTCTTGACTCATCCATAAGAAACTAAAATTCAGATCATGAATTTGCAATTGGAAATCCATCATCTTCATCTCCAACTCATCGCCCACCTCCAAATCCTCTTTACCAATTGCTTTTCTACAACTACATCCATGCAATCCCTTTTTTATTTTTCTGCATATCTTTGACTCATGCATCATCTTTTCTGTTCTTGATCTTGTAATTAAGATATCTTAATTTATGTTAAACTTAATGTTTATACTTGTGAAGAAACATGTGAAAAGTGGACTAATTTATATTTTTAATTGATTATGTTATTCTGTGTCGAAAGTAATGACAAAGTAAGGATTTTTATTCAGGAAACGATAAAGTCATAAAAAGAATGCATTGGATTCGTTTTACACTTAAGATATAGATTTTAATTATAATTTTCACTTATATCTAAAGTATTGTCTGTTAATTTAAAAAATGAAAAGAAAAAATATTTCTATTTACCAATAATTATATATACTGTATATACAAGCCATATACACTTAATTAGTACTTTTTTAAATGCAATACAAATTAGAGAGAAGAAACATAGCCATATAATTAATATGTTTAGTGTCTAATTACTTTGATAATTAAGAAAAAAAAAAATCAATAAGAAAAAGGTTGAGGAGATTATATAGAAAGCATTTTAATCGATAGATCCTAGAAAGTGTTTTTTGTTTTTCTAAAAAAAAAAAAAAAAAAGAAAAAAATACTATAAAGTACAAATAAGCACTTTTGGCACCCTTAAATTGCTCTCAAATTACACATTCTTCTTTGGCAATGTCATAACATCGAACTTATGGAATATAATTAATCTTGAGAGACTAGAAAGTGATTAGTTAAAATTTTTAATTAATTAAGCTCACGTTTGATCAATCGTTTCTTTGAAAAGTAAAACAAAATGTGAGTATTAGTGTAAGATTATGTGACCACCTTCTTATTTATAATCAATGTTACATTAATAAGTACAAGCTAGAAGGGGTTAATTTCGTTAATAATTGAGATTTCGAAATATTAGTGTAACTAAACGTATCCAAAGCTATATCATCCGGTATATTTTGAGATCTAATTAAAATATATTTTATTTAATGTATGGAGAATTTGTATAAATATATTATTTCTCGGCTCAAATATTATAACTAGATATAATCAACTATTTTGAAATAACACACTACAAACTATAGCTACTTAATTAATATTTAAAATAATAGAAAAGATTAAGTTAACTAATTAATAAGATCGATTATTATCAGTCTAGTGTACTACTCAAATTGTTAGACAAGTAGATTTTTAATTAAGACTTAAAAGATGCACACATTTTGAATAATTAAATTTTATGGCAAGATTGAAGTTCTATTTAAACTTTGAAAGTTTAGTGATATGGTACAATGCATATACCCAATTAATCCCAATTAAATATGAAAAAGGAATAAAGAAATTATCTATTCAATTATTATCATATTTTACTTATACTATCCTATATTAACAGTTCTCCAAATAAATGAAATAAAATTATAAAATTTTCACCAGGGTTATGGTTCAGAGGAGTGAAGCGGCTCTTTCATGAACGTATACACATGAAGTCGGATAAAGAGAAGATGTTAATTCCCAGTAGAAAGGTGACCGGAGGTGGCGAGCAGAGAGGCAACTTGTAAATTGATAGTGTTAAAGAAAGATAATGAAATTTTGACTGAAAATTAAATAGAATAGTCCAATTCCACCGCTGAGAGAGAAGGGTTGTGGGCACCCCTGTCCTATATTTTATCAAGTCTTTTTCTCATCTTTAACTCCTCCATGTAGGCCCTGAAAGCTAGTGATCTTTCTATTTACTCCCTCCATTTCTCTTCTTCTTCTTCGTCATCCTCCTTCTTCTCTCTCTCTCTCATGAATTAATTAATCAACCAAAAATTAAAAAAATTAATCTTGATTCATATCTTGCCTACCACTTGCATATATACCACTCAAATATCGTACAATATTTCATGTATAAAAGAGCTAGCTGGCCAAACCCCAAACTCTAAGTTCTTATTATTATCCTATTTAATTTAATTTTCCTTTTTTTTTTAAGTTTATGGCAATTGCAGCCGCAAGCATGAGCAACAACAATAACAGCAACAATAACAACACCAACAAGGATGACGATGATGATCACCATGAACAGGACATGGTGATGCCTGGCTTCCGTTTCCATCCCAGAGAAGAAACTGGTCGAGTTCTACCTTCGCCGAAGGTTGAGGGCAAGCGTTTCAATGTCGAACTCATTACTTTTCTTGATCTATATCGCTATGACCCTTGGGAACTCCCTGGTAATTATAAACAAGTTTAAAAAAAAAAAAAAAAAAAAAAAACAAACAAACAAACTCTCCCTCTTCCACAAGGCATAACTTTATCCATATATATGTATCTTTATATAATCATCATCATCTTCTTCTTTCTTATCTTGCTTTTGCTTTTGCTTTGCTTTATAGCTTTCTTATGTGGTTTTGGTTATGGTTTTTGGTTCAGCTTTGGCGGCCATAGGGGAGAAAGAGTGGTTCTTCTATGTGCCGAGAGATCGAAAGTATAGAAATGGTGACAGACCTAATAGAGTGACGACTTCTGGTTATTGGAAGGCGACGGGAGCTGATCGAATGATCAGAAGTGAGAGCTCTCGATCAATTGGGTTGAAGAAAACCCTAGTTTTCTATTCTGGGAAAGCTCCTAAAGGCATCAGAACCAGCTGGATTATGAACGAGTATCGTCTTCCTCAGCATGAAACTGAACGATACCAGAAGGTAATCACCATAATTCAGACTTAAATGAACAAGAAAGGGAAGGAAAAAAGTGAAAGCTCTAACTTCTTGATGATGAAGATATATAGATATATATGTTCATAAAATCTCAGTTCTGTCTTATTCTTCTTCCTTTCTCTAACCCTAATGATTTTTCGCACAATTTCAAGAAACAAAACAGAAGCTTTAAAGATAAAAAATGGGAATTTTCAGTGTCCAATATTGTGCTTTGATTTGAATACTATCTGATTTCTCAAATGATTCACAGCAACATGCATGAAACTGGTTGAATACTTCTTTAATTTCTCCTTCAACTTCAAATTGTTTCACTTTAATTCAATTCTTCCCTTTTTGCAGGCCGAGATATCGCTTTGTCGCGTGTACAAGAGAGCTGGAGTTGAAGACCATCCATCTCTTCCTCGTTCGCTTCCAACAAGAGCATCATCTTCATCATCATCAAGAAGCTTTACACCATCCAATAAATATCCTCAAGAGGCAGCTCAACATTTAGCAATGGAGAGGTTCCAAACTTTCGGAACTCAGTCTCATAATTCACCGCAACTTGATATCGAAAAGATGAGCGAAACAGATGGAAGTACAAGCTCAGATGTCACCACAGTTCTTGGACTTTCAAAGCAAAACGTTTACCGTCCAACGATGGTGTCTCCAATCAGCGCTTCACTCGGTCTGCCATCATCAATAGAAGAGGAAGGCTTGTTCCTTCACCAGTCTAAACAAGTATGCAGCTCTTTAGTCCCCACTTGCACCACTCTATTTCCCGGTGGATCCTCTTCTGTGTCGTCGAACCCCGCCGCCGCCACTGCCCTCGATGAGTTTCACCGATTATTAACCTACCAACAAGCTTCCATCAACCAGCAGCAACAACAACAGCAACCGTATAATTTCAATCACCACTCGCAGTTCTCCTCTTTGCAACCTCATCAAGTGCAGGCGGCGCCACTGGGACTCAACACACTAACAGCTTCGCTTCCAACTGCAGCTTTAATCTCAGATAGATTGTGGGAATGGAACCCAATTCCAGAAGCAAACAGAGAGTACAGCGATCCATTCAAGTAAATCATCAATCAATCAATTCTATGATTAGATTAAGCATGATTTATATCTAAATATACAAATAACTAGATATACTTTATGTGATCATCACCACTGATTATTATTTATCTAGCTAGTTCTTAATTTCTCAACTGCATGTAATGTGTTATTAGCTTTAATATATGACTGATTATTGATGAATATCATTTACTACTCTGCTAGGGTTAAATTTTGTGTTAGTATATATAGCAAGGTTAAGTGATTGATCCTTGTAGTACATACTGCTTATTTTGATTACTTCTATATTGTAGTCTTGTGGGTTTCTTTCAATTCATTTTATACTTCACTTTTTGTAGGCTAAAATTGAATTTACAAATAGATGATTCTTTGATCTTATACGAAAATTTTCTGGTGTAGATGTTTTAAAATTTTTGACGTGTAAACTTTTAAAACTGATTTTTTTTTCTTTAAAACAGCTCTTACAGATCTAAATATTAATTTTTTTTGTGATATCTACAGTCTTAAATTCACAATATACATATATGATTATGATCATTGATATCTCTCTTTCCTTAGTGTTAGTAAGAAGAATCTTAGTGTACACCATGATTGGAACAAAAAAGGACTATAATTTCGGGGACAAATTAGGTTCACCTTGGGGACTGGTGCAGGGATTGGACCCATGCATTTCAGAAACAACATCCACAATGGAGACATCAAAGTTTTGTTCCATTTTGAATCTTCTTGTAGGTGAGCTTGACTAACTAACCCACTCAAAAAGACATTTTGGCTTTGCCCTTTGTGTTCAAGAAAAATCTAATAATTAATCAATATAACACAACTCTTGGGGGGTCAAATGATCCTTAATCTATGATATCTAGAACCACTTCATTAAGCATAGTCCATCCCCATTTCTACTTTTTTTCATGACCTTTAGATCTAGTTTAATAAAAGATAATTAAAACACATGTCAGAATTAGATAAAAAACAGACAATGTTGTACTATGTAAGAATAACTCGACCATTACAATTGATGATATTTACACTGTATGTATGAATTTGTACACTTAAGAAGTCCTTTATATAAAGTCCCAATTACCCCAAAATATTATCTACCTCTTAGATCTAGTTTATACTAATAAGATAAGTTTATAACAAAAAAATCTTGTCCTGGATCATAGAATGAGATCAAGATACATCTTAAGGTTAGATCTAAAATAGACAACACCATACTATGTAAGAATAACTTGATCGATCAAATTAAGACTCGAACGAGCTGTATGAATGGGTTTAATTTAGACACTTTGACATTTGGCAAATAGTCCTTTCTGCAAAGTCCAATTATCCCAATTACAAGCATAAAAGAAGGATAATCGGATGTGGTTGTCTGTAGTGGCTTAATTGTAGGCAAGGGCTGGGACAGATATATATAGCTGTGTCCAGTAGCATTTAGCAAGTTCTAACAATTATTGTACTGCAAAGTCAGCGATTCTACCATTGCATGTGCACACAATTGTGGGCGGGCGTGCTCCATGAAGAGCTCAGTTTTGTGGGTAAAATTTTTATAGCTAGAGAGGTCCATAGCATGACATTGTGCATGCAGCACTATGAAGCTTTCGATCTCTCTAAAATCTACCTATAATTAATACTTATTGTTAGTTAATAAGCCTCTATTCTTTATTACTCAGCGGATTTATATAACTCATCGTTGACATTCTCATTTATATTGTCAAGAAGTTTGAAAGCTAGATAGCTATATGTCTCTTATTCATACTTGAAGAAGAATAATATTTAGGGTTGCGGGATTACCTATAGCTAGCTATAAATATATTTATTGATAGAAGTTAGCAATGTACAATGTTTGCTCATTTGCTTTCATCTGATGGTAGCTGAAGGTTTTCTTGAATTAAAGAAGAAGAGGACGATGAACACTAGAGAGAACAATCCAGAAAAGAACACGAAAAATTGGGGATTTTTTTTCATTCATTGAAGTTTGTTACAAAAGCAGTTACTTATTTGTACCTGGATTCTTTTAATACAAAACTTACCGCATTTACTAATATTGCAAAAGACGAAGCACACCCTATACAATTTGCTAAGATTACAAAATGACCCAGATTACTTTACACACACCACATTTTCACACCTCCTTTGCTTAACATTTCCCCTTAAACTAAACTACTTCTAAATAATACATTTACAAACTTCCTTTGCTTAACAGTAGCAACAAAATTCATCGCTATATATATATATATATATATATATATATATAGATGTATGTCAATTGTATATTGTTCGATATCAACAATGTTTTTTTATTAATAAAAGGGTATATAATATCAATTTTTTGCTTTTTATTAAATTATCAAAGAATGCTGAAACTATATAGTCGATTGAGTCGCAAGACTATGACCTAAATCTTGGACCAACCTTCTAATTATTTAACTAATTGAAACCAAAACTATACATAGATTGCGGGATTTTATTAAATTAACAGACTTTATTGATACAATCGAGTTGATTTATGATAGGTTTCAATATATCTTTAACCTACTTTTAAATATGTTATTAATGCTTTTCAAGGACTTTTCACCTTTTAATTGCTATGAGAAAGATAAAAATACACTTCGAATTCAGGAATTTCCTCCATCACTCGAGTTTCTCTTAGTGCTTAATAAGTTAACAATAATGCTAGATGCATAAACAAATCTTACAAAGATTTGTGTATAAACTGATGTGACAAAAAACTGAATAAAAGAATGAATATAAAAAGTCAAACTCGTCATATTCACTATTTCATTCATTTTCTGTCACATCAGTTTGTACACAAATCTTTATAAGATTTGTTTATACATCTAACATACTCATAAGATAATTAGTTAAATTACCTACGATCAGACTTGTGGTTTACTCGTATAAGGTCTAGGGTTCAAGTTTTTGTATTGGCATTTAAATGGTCAGAAGTCATTTTTCCTGCTTTAAGATTAATTATAAGGTTTAGCGGTAGAGGTTCTCTGGCCAAAAGTCACTGTTTCCTGCTTCTCAAAGATTAATTGTAGGGTTTGACGAAGACTCCAATTCGAATTCAAGTTCACAAAGTGACGTCGGCAATTTTTTAATTATAAAAAAAATCTAATTACTATTTTAATGATATCTTTCGTTATCCATTTGTATTTTCACTATACTAGTTCAACTATTCTCTTATTTGTGTCAATGTTGACTGAAATAGAGATATACGAAAAACGAAATAAACAAAAAACACGAAAACACAAACAGTAAAGTGAAAGAAGAAAACGCGCGATTTACCCTGGTTCATCCAATTAACAGGTTACGTCCAACAGAGTCAATATTATTTCAATACTGCCTCAGCTCTCTCATTTACAATAAAGTAATTTGCCCTATGATTGCTATCACTCATTACAAGAGAAAAATGTGTTTATATACTAGGTTTAAAAGACTAAACCTAGTAATATAAAGATTCCTATTCCTAAGCCCAAACACAATAAGGAATTAAACTTAAAGAAATCATTTAGCGGTTATACATAAAAAAGCCCAAAATCGCCTACAATTAATGCTAAAGGGTCAACAAGTCCAACAAGTGTGAATATATATACCTCACCCACAATCGGCCAAAAAGGGAAGGACCCTTTCCTTTAGGGGTAGGAAAATCATGATCGGGATAGTGGATCCAAAGCTATGGAACTTGGGTGTGGGTCTTTTGTCGAAATGGAGTAGCCTTACTTTTTTTTTTTTTTTTTTTTAAAATTTATTCTATTTACCATTTATTCTCATTTGAGATCTTATGGGAATGAACCTATTGCTGAATCTAATGAGTTAAAAATGATTAAAGTAAATAAACTAAAGTCAAATTCAACTATATATAATACCATTTACACAAATAATACAAGTTAATGCATATAGAAAAACTATATATAATAAAAAGACATGCATGAAACATCTTAGCTATCTCAACACATGAACATAATAGTCATATGGATATTCAAATTTTGGGACAATATTTATGTTGGAATATTTGCTTAAGATCTCTAAACCATAAACCATAGTCACAAACATACTGACCTTCAATGGTATTTTTAGCTTTACTATTGGTATCAATTATCTTACTTATCAGATTTTAAGATTGGCAAGAGTGGCAAAAATGAAGCCTGAGTATGCTAGAGAAAGAGATGAGAAGAAGAAAATTGTATTGTATTTACTGTGTATTGAAGCTTTGTACAATCCTCAATTTATACAAGTGTGTTAATGTAATAAAGGAAATACAATAATTGTAATTACATAAAATTAGGGGAACTGTAATTGCTTAAATCCTGTGAGCGTAATCTCAGTATTCCATAATTCATCATTCCCCTTCAAGCTTGTGGTTTGTATATGTAAAAAACGCCAAGCTTGTTGAGTAAATGTGAATGTTGTCTGCTGCATAATGGTTTCGTAAAAATGTCTGCTGGTTGATCTACAATATGAATATGCATAGTCTTTAAAAGGTGTTGTTGAGTAATCTAAAAAAGAAAACTGAGGAAAGAAAGAAAAATCTGTTTCAAACGAAAAATGTGATTTCTCTATATTGAAGAAGATGATAACCAAATGTTTTATAGTTGGTGAACAAAATATAAAACGCAGCGTTTTGAACAGACAAATCTCTAAATGCTGCGTTTGATTCCCTTTAGACCTTTACCAAATAAACCCCCTTTCTTTACAATATTACAGATTAATCCTAGTCACAAAACACGCATGATATCTCTTCTACACTTCATCTAATATTCCCTCTTAAACACAACTTCTCTCTCAACATTCCAACCATACATGAACACACTCTTCTGTTTCTTCTTTTACTTCTGCAGTTTGCTACTACATCATCCTACTCAACCCTTTTTTTTTTTTTTTTTTCACATTCTGCTTCTGTTGCTTTTTGACTCCACTCTATTCCTGCATTTTTTTTCTTTTCATTTCTACTTCTGCAGTTTCTCATTTAGTTTTCAACTACACTCTGTTTCTTCATTTTTTTTTTCAGTTGTCTACTGTTCCTGTTGGACAATCATCTTTCTTTGGGTCACATGCAACATTTAGTACTTCAAAGCATGGCTGTGTTGTAGATGTTAGAATTAAACCAAGTAACTCAGTTGTTACTTTCAACCTTTCCCTCAACAAATTAAATCTTGCTCCAGATAACGGCTTGGTCAGAATATCAGCCTTTTGGTACTCTGATCAACAAACTGCACTGTTACAGCCTTCCTTGCAACTAGTTCTCGCACATAGTGCACATCAATTTCTATGTGCTTAGTACGTGCATAAAAAACATGATTTGAATAGAGAGCCCCTGCAC